ATATAATGCAGAGAATTCGTAGTTTGGAAGTTAGGAGGAGGTGCGGGATTAACCAAAACTGTTGTCCCGAGGCTGAGGAAGGGTTGTTGAGGTGGTTCGACATGTAAGGGGAATGGAAGCGAAACAGAATAACTTCAAGAGTGTATCAGTCTGTAGTGGAAGGAAGGCGGGGTAGGGGTTTTCGGCTAGGAAGGTTGGAGGGAGGGGTAAAGGAGGTTTTGTGTGCGGGGGGCTTGGACTTCCAGCAGGCATGTGGTGAGCGTGTTTGATAGGAGTAATGGAGAAAATGGTTTTTAATATTGACGTGCGTTGGAGTGTGAGCAAAAGTAACATTTATAGGATCAGGAAACGGCAGGCCGACTTGACCCTGGAGATGGGAAGTACAGTGCTGCACTCTGAAGGAGGGGTGTTAAGTTCAGTTTAAAAACTGTAGTGTAAAGCACCCTTCTGGCAAGAAAAAGTGTGGGTGAATGATGGTGAAAGTTTTTCTTTTTCGGGCCACCCTGCCTTGGTGGAATCGGCCAGTGTGATAATAAAAAAAAAAAATTTTAAAACAGGAAGATGTAAATGAGATTCCAGTAAAAACAATTATTCAGTTCCTGATGAATTTAAATAACTAATATTACTGTCAACAGGGACATGGTTATTAACAGCTAGACAAACTGAATCAAAATTTAAGTCCCGGGACCCATGATTTGTTTTCCAGGTATTTAAAGGAAATGCAAGATGGAGCTCAGTCAACCAAATTTTGAGTTGTGTTCAATGCTCCATGCTTACCGGTGTTGTGCCGGGATTTGGGGGGAAGATGGCTAATGTGGTTCCTATTCAAAATCAGGGTAAAGTCCACTCCTTCAAATTAGACCCAATAATAAGGTTAGGGTGGGTGTAGAAGAGAGGGAGACTACTTCCCATAAAAGTAGGTCTTAGACAGGGATGTGAATGTCCCATGGTTGTTTAATAATTATGATGGGGTTGTAAGAGAAGAAAATTTGATAGGGTGTTCAGGAAGGGGTGGGATTAATTATGGGGAATTAAATACAAAATGGGAATTGACAAAGTTGCTTTTTGCTGATGAATGTGCTATGGGAGATTCTAAAGAAAATTGCAAAGGTTAGTAGATGAATTTTGGGAGTGTGTGTAAAGGTAAATGTTGAAAGTGAAAATAGAAAAGAGTAGGCGATGAGGGTATCAAATGATTTAGTTAAAGAAAATTTGGATATAAAATTTGGGAGGAGGAGTATGGAAGAAGTGAAGTTTTCAGATACTTGGGAATTGCCCTGTCAGCGGATGGATTCATGAAGGATGAGGTTAACATAGAATTGATGAGGAAAAAAGGCGAGTGGTGCGTTGAGGTAATATGTGGAGACAAAAAAACATTATCTATGGGGGCAAAGAAGGGAATGTATGAAAGTATAGTAGTACCAACACTCTTATATGGGTGTGAAGCTTGGGTTGTGAATGCAGCACGCGGAGGCTTTTGGGAAAGGCAGTGGAGATGTCCTGTCTAAGGGCAATGTGGGGGTGTAAATATTATGCAGAAAATTCGGAGTGTGGAAATTAGGAGAAGGTGTGGAGTTAATAAAATTTATTAGTCAGAGGGCTAAAGAGGGGGTTTTTGAGGTGGTTTTTCGTCATTTAGAGAGAATGGATCAAGTAGAATGACGGGAGGCGTAAATCTGTAGGGGAAGGAGGCGGGGTAGGGGTCATCCTCGAAAAGGTCGGAAGGAAGGGTAAGGGAGGTTTTGTGGGCGAGGGGCTTGGACTTCCAGCAGGCGTGCATGAGCGTGTTCGATAGGCGTGAATGGAGATGAAGGGTATTTGGCCCTGACGATCTGTTGGAGTGTGAGCAGGGTATATTTTTAGTGAAGGGATTCAGGGAAACTGGTTATTTTTATATAGCCAGACTTGAGTCCTGGAAATGGGAAGTACAATGCCTGCACTCTAAAGGAGGGGTTTGGGATATTAGCAGTTTGGAGGGATATGTTGTGTATCTTTATACGTATATGCTTCTAAACTGTTGTGTTCTGAGCACCTCTGCAAAAACAGTCATTATGAGTGAGTGAGGTGAAAGTGTTGAATGATGATGAAAGTATTTTCTTTTTGGGGATTTTCTTTCCTTTTGGGTCACCCTGCCTCGGTGGGAGACGGCCGACTTGTTAAAAAAAAAAATAAAAAAGCCTGACATCTATAGTGGGCAAGTTATTAGAATCATTTATAGCTGATATTTATTAGAAGTCACCTTGAAGAGCATAACTTGATAAATAAATCTCAGCATGGATTCACGAGAGGTCATTCCTGCCTGACAAATTTACTGACGTTCTTCAATAGAACATTTGAGGCAGTTGACAGTGATAAAGAATATATTGTTTATTCGGATTTTAGTAAAGCCTTCGATAGAGTACCTCACAAGAGAGACTTAAGAAAAGTGGCAGCTCATGGTATAGGAGGTAAAGTTCTAGCATGGATAGAGGCATGGCTTACCAATAGAAAGCAGAGAGTTACCATAAATGGGGTGAAATCTGAATGGGGATAGTCACTAGTGCATTCCACAAGGATCAGTTTTAGGCCCTCTCTTGTTCATAATTTACATTAGTGACCTTGATGAAGGGATTACGAGTGACATGAGTAAATTTGCTGATGATACAAAGATAGGCCATATAATTCATTTTGAGGAGGATAGCAATGAACTCCAGGAGGATTTGGACAAATTAATGTCTTGGTCTGAAAAATGGCAGATGAAGTTCAATGTGGATAAGTGTAAGGTACTAGTCCTTGGTAATGAAAATAACCCTTGAAGCTATAATCTAGGTGAAGTAGAGCTTGATCATACAGAATGTGAAAAAGACTTGGGAGTCATGGTAAGCAGAAATCTAAAGCCAAGACTGTACTCCCGAGTACAGTTATTCAGGCTAAAACGTTGTGTAGTTTTAAAAATAGGTTAGATAAATACATGAGTTGGTGTGGATGGGTGTGAGTTGGACCTGACTAGCTTGTGCTGCTGGGTCTGGTGCAGTGCTCCATCCTTGAGTGGAGATGATCAGACTGGGTGGGTCACTGGGCTAATCTGGAGGGAGGGGGGGGGGGTCATTGGTCTAATCCAGGGGGAAACATGGACCTGCTCTGCATGGGTCAGTAGGCCTGTTGCAGTGTTCCTTCTTTCTTATGTTCTTATAAGTAACGTAAGTCCAAAAGTTATTTTACAGCTCTATTCATCACTAGTGAGGCCTCATTTAGATTATGCTGCTCAGTTTTGGTCCCCTTACTACAGGATGGATATAGACTCATTAGAGAACATACAGAGAAGAATGACTAAACTGATTTACTGTGTAAGGAATCTCCCGTATGAAGACAGACTTAAAGCCTTAAATCTCCACTCTCTGGAGAGACGTAAAATGAGGGGAGATATCACTGAAGTGTATAAGTGGATGACGGGCATAAACAAAGGTGATATTAATAAAGTACTGAGGGTGTCGAACCAGGTAAGACCAGAAATTATGGATTTAAATTGGATAAATTTAGATTTAGAAAGGATATAGGTAAGTACTGGTTTTCTAACAGAGTTGTAGATGCGTGGAACAATCTTCCCAGTAGGGTGATAGAGGCTAGGACCTTGGGTAGATTTAAGAGGAGATTGGACAAATATATGAGTGGGAGGGGCTGGGTTTGATTGGTATCAGTGGGTACAGGAGTTTTTTCTTGGGTAGCTTCAGGTAGAGGTCGTTTTGATAAGGACCTGCCTTGCATGGGCCAGTAGGCCTTCTGCAGTGTTCCTCCATTCTTATGTTCTTATCTTCTTATATAAAAATAACTGGTTTCCCTGAATCCCTTCACTAAATATTACCCAGCTCACACTCCAACAGCTCGTCAGGTCCCAAATGCCATTTAGTAGGTAGTAGGTTGGTAGACAGCAACCACCCAGGGAGGTACTACCGTCCTGCCAAGTGAGTGTAAAACAAAAGCCTGAAATTGTTTTACATGATGGCAGGATTGCTGGTATCTTTTATCTGTCTCATAAATATACAAGATTACAGGTACATCCTGCTACTTCTACTTACACTTAGGTCACACTACACATACATGTACATGTTTATTAATACACACTCATCTGAGTTTTCTTTGCTTTTATCTTAATAGGTCTTGTTCTTATTTACCTTTCCTTTTATATCCATGGGGAAGTGGAATAAGAATCTTTCCTCCGTAAGCCATGCGTGTTGTAAAAGTCAACTAAAATGCTGGGAACAATGGGCTAGTAATCCCTTTTCCTGTAATAATTACTAAAAAGGATAAAACTATAGTTATTCTCTATAAAATGTATATTTTGTTAATATTTTTGGGTGTCTGGAATGGATTAATTGAATTTACATTATTTCTTATGGGAAATATTAACAAAAAATACATTTTGTAGAGAATAACTATAGTTTTGCATACAGAAAAGTGATGATGAAATTCGAAGGTCCACTGTATTTTATACAGGAGAAGGAGTTACTAGCCCTTTGCTCCTCTTAGTCACCTCTTTTGACACACATGGCTTACGGAGGAAGAATTCTGTTCCACTTCCCCATGTACATTATTAAAAATATAATACAGTTTAGTGGCACTATCTATTGTGTAAGGTAAAACACTTAGCTTTATGTAAGCTTTGGGGCTGATTTTTTTTAAATTTTTGTGCTGAATGGTATTCAGCAAAAATCATAAATCAATTTAAAAGTATGGTTAACCAAACTCCAGAAAAAGGTGATGCCATCAAATTACAATATTAATTTTTCCTGAAACTGACCATCAGCTGGGCCTCTTAAATGAACATTAACGATAAAAGGACTATTACTACTCATCAACAGGTATTAGACATGCAACAAACACACACATTGTAAAACATACATACCTATCATACAAGTAAAGAAAAAAGTAGGACAAACCACACTGCAATTACAAAGTAGTACTCCATTACAGCTTAAATTAAAGCATATGATTATTAAAAAATAAATTCCAAAGCCAATTACCTGATCTCTTTGTAACTGGTGTGCAGCTATGTGAGACTGCTGCTGATTCTGTTCTGTGAGTCCCTTAATGTGGAGCATCTCAGCTGTTCGTAAAAAATTTGTAAGTCTATCTTGTGATACATAAACTTCCCCTTGATATACAAAGCTGAGAAGAGCTGACATATCCACATATGCCACATCTCGTAAAATTATGATAGGGTGCTGACAGGGATTTTGCTGAAAAGAAAGATGCAAAAATTAAGTAAATAAAAAATAAGCACATACTTTTTATTGCAACTTTAAAACCTGTGTAGTTTACTAATAAAGAAAAAATTAAACTACATACTATTCAGTACACCATTTCTCACAAACCTTGAGCAAATTTCTAAAGTAGGGAGAGCAGGCTGAAAGGACCACTTTGTGAGCTTTCAGACTGCGCCCCTCACATGCCAGTGTCACGTCCACAAAGTCTTCATGGTCACGAAGATGCTCAAATGATGTGGCTATGTTGCTGTGAAAGTTGTTCCACCGCAGGCAAAAGTGTTGGTCACTACCCATGGCGATCATGTGCTGCTTACTGCTGCACCAAATGGAGAAATAGGGAAAAATATTCTAACATTAGAAACATTGAAACAAATGTTTAACACATTCTGAATTAATGTGAAACTAACATTTCTTAAAACACTTCCTAAGCTTCATCTACAACAAAAATTCCTTATAAATGATTTTCCCAAGTGCCCCAAAACCTTGCGAATACAAATGAAACAATGGCTAGGGGCAGAAAGAGAATAACGAGACAAGAGTAAAAGCAAAATGAAACTACTTAAGGACTATCTTTGTATTAACTTACAATATACTATATATATTTAGTGTAAAAAAAGGTTCCTGTGACCAAGATTTATGAAGACTTAAGAACATCAGACATGCCTTCAGTGAATGATATAAGTTAAAAAAAAAAAAGATAACCAAATAAAACATAAAAAAACTGAATATTAAAGACTAGATAAGAATGTGTAAGTCTATCTAAAACATTTAACAAATTTCTGTAATTTCCATCTATTATTACTGTTACGAACTTAATTTGTTCCAGAAGGCTGTTTGAATGCCGATACCGAACGAATTTGTTCCCATAAGGAATAACGTAAATTAGGTTAGTCCGTTTCAGACCCTCAAAAATACACATACGAGAGCACTTACAAAAATACACTTACATAATTGTTAGAGTTGGGAGCTGTTCAAAACTTGAGGAACCATTGTATTACTAATTACACCATGCATTCTTCCTTTAATACTGCCCCAAATTTTAATTTATTGATCTTTTTTATTACATTTTTTCTTCATTCAAATGCTTATCATGATTTTAATGCAGCCCACCTAGCTATTAATTTTGATCTGTACATAATTTAATGTCATCAACAATAATTTGCTTGTAAGCTGTGAACAGACCTTAATCTCCTCTACATAATTATTACTTCTTCACAATTTTATAACTGTTTCTAATATTGTACCTGTGCCTTCAGCACCTAGATCCTTAGTTAGTTTAATATCTTTATTATGCACCCCATACCCATCCTGTGGGCGGTAGTCAAAAGATTACAAAGGTACATAATGGGTCCAGGGACTGGACCCCAAAGTTATGATAGCTGAACTAGTTACATAGGTAATGAACTCCAGGTAGATCTGGTCACAATCATGGAAAGTTACAAAGGTAATGAATCAGCCTCACTCCTATACATGGTTACAGTCATGAACAAATTACAAAGTAATGAGCCATTGATACATCCACACCTGGTCACAATTGTAATGAGTTATAAATACAAATATTAAGTGGGTCATACACCCACACGAGCGCGCGCGCACACACACACGAGGGCGCACGCACAGACATATGCACATGAACGTACAAATATATCCATACACACACACACACACACACACACACACACACACACACACACACACACACACAACACACACACACACAACACACACACACAGTAATGCATTATTTACAGCTAGCAAAGTCAGGGTATTTCTCCAGAATGGTCTGTAATATACCAATGTGGATAAAATACTTTGCCATTTCTTGAACATTTCTGAGTGAGTTGTTTCTAAATTCATTAATTTGATCACACTCCAGTACATAATGACGCAAGGTGTAACAATAGTCCATCTGGCAAAATTTACATTTCGTTTGGTCTACATCTGGTGGTGGTGATTTAACCTGCCATAGATACTTGTAACCCAGGCAGAACCAGGCAGTAGTGACATCCAAGAGTCTGCTTATCTTGTTGGATGCACAATAGACATGTGGCTCCTCCTGCATGATGGAATGATGATAGATGGACTGACTTGTGTCAATCTCCCTAAGTCTTAAGTCAATAAAGTTCAATTGAAGTTCTTTTCATATTATTGTTCTCAAACTGCTAAGTGACAACCCAATATTGTGATCTACCCCCTCTTTGAAAGCATAGAGCTTAGCCAATTTATCAGTTCTATCATGCATCTGAAGACCAATGTG